CTTTGGGGTCCTTAGGGACTAGAAAAGCGCTATACAAATACAGGCCATTTACCATTTAATGACACCCGGATTAAATCAACACCAGGAAGTAATACTGTCAGAATTAACAAAGCGCTGGTTGATCAAGAGTGGCAGCAATCTGATCTTGTGGAGGGAAATGTTGTTTGGTAGTGGAGTGAGTAACCAAATGCAGGTCTCAGCAGGCATAAGTCAAACTTAAAACACAGCTTACACAGCTAACAAGTAACCAAACATGGCAAAGAAAGAGCAGACACCGGTGACTCAAGTTAGCAACTTGGGAAACAAAACTGAACACAATACATACAGGACAAGAGACAGAATAACCAGTATAAAACACAAACCTGACACTCCAAAGTAAAATTATAATGTAAAAACTGGTTGAGAAAGGCCATTCTTATTGGTTGTGCTTGTATCTCATGCTCAGTGGTGCAGTGAAACTACACCAACACCCTTTGTGCAGGTTTTTGCACTAAGGGTGTTGGTGTAGCTTAATTTTAGCTGATGCTGACTCTCAGAGAGAAGCTGACCTTGCAAAATAAAAAATACATACTGGGACGACGGAGACACCACACGAAAACAAGCAAAACGTTTTTGCATTAAAAACATTTCCTAAGAGTATTTAACTCTTACCTTCTGATGAAAGTAATGAAGGTGCCTGAACTGAGGGATTTCCTGTTGGATGAAAGAACATTTTGAATCATGGCCTCTTAAAAGTGATTTATTAATTAGATTAGATAGTAATTTATTAATACCTTGAGTGGGTTCCTCCGAGAAACTCAGTATAATGTTGTGCCTGCATACTGCATTACTGTGTTGAGTGTCTCTTTTCTCAGACTGACCTTGACTCATCATCTCTAAAATGGATGTCGCCAATTCTATCACATGGTCAGTAGTATATGTCTGCACCATCAAATCTATAGTTTCCAGTCTGTTTGCTTTCTCCAGATGGCACTTCCGAATGGTAGTGAAATCACCTACAGGTACATTCTGTAGATACCAGTGGAAATGTTTCAGCTCCTCTTCTCCCAGATTCTGCAGCATATACAACAGCTGCTCCTGTACAGACCGTTCCATATTGCATCTATAGACACATTAAAAACATCAATGCAGAAAGACAATCAGTGTTGGGAAGGTTACTTTTAAAATGTATTCCATTACAGAATACA